TTTCTTTTTGTTAAAATGGTTTTGAACATCATGGATGTGTTTTAACACCATGCATGTATGATAAACAAGATTGCATGTTCATGATCTTAGTGCAAAATCGATTTTAAGGGATTAAAACATCAAACTCAAGTTAAGAGTTTTTGAGAAACAAATTTTGTTCATAAATGAATGTATACATTTTGATAAGTTTTAATCTTTTGATCTCTGGAAACATGACTAAATATAATTTATCATGATATCTTTTAAAATATTTCAAAAGATTTACTCAAAGAAATGATGAAAACCATTCTTTCTAACCAATCACCATGCATGCAATCTGCAGATTTCTTTACCTGACTTTAAACTGTCATATCTCACCATTTCTTACCAAAATTCGGGATTCTTTTTCTGAAATATAATATTTGGTTATAGCTTTCAAACCCATCTGACCTCACTGGAAAATTCAATAATTCGATTTTTAGCAATTTTTACAAAACTGTTGCTCAATCAGCACCTTTTTGTGAATACGATTTTGTATTGGCATGTTTAAACATCTTATTCATCACTAAATCAAGAAAAATTTTTGAGCACTTAACATCATGTATTAAGAGGTATAAAAATAATCTTCATTCAAAAGCCTTGGAACATGTTGAAAAATTCTCAAAGTAACCAATAATTTTTACCAAATCACAAGAATCAAGTTTTCTCTATAATTGTTTGAGCCTTTAGGCATGTTTTTCGACATCAAAAATAAGAAAACATTTTTCATTGTTATTAAATTGTTTGAAGTTGCATTCTGGAAATTTTCAGCTCAATATATATTTTCTTTATTTTTTTTACATGAAAATAATAAAAATAGAGTGTTAAAGCATATAAAATACTTAAACTTGTAAAAATAAATTGGAGAAATTTGGTGGATGACCCTTTAAGTTAATAACATCTCTCATGAAGTTTCATCGATTTTTGTTACTGTTTATTATGGTTTTTAATTTCTTTTTATTTAGCTCTAATAAATCATAAAACCACTTTAGGGAATGTGAAAATATTATTTCTTATTTCGCAGCTTGTACCCTTATTTAAAGACTCCGAAATATTTTGGGATTTTTTGAAAATGTATATCGATTTTCTTGAATTTTGTGTTTATAATGGACTAAAAAAAGAAAAATAGTTTTACTCATCCAAAATTCATGAACATTTACCATAAACTCTTATAATATGTTAGGATGATACATAAACATTTTGATGATTTTTATCTTCTGTATGCTATTTTTTTTCTATTTTCCCAAGATTTAATACACTTAAATGTACAAAAATCAGAAAAATTGTGTTAAACTTTTTGAAAACACATATTAATATTTTTCTTAGATTATGTACACTGTAAAATAGTAACACAAAAATTACAAGAATATTTCATGATAATTTACTAATTTTCCATGATTTTATGATTATTCATGGAATTAAATGGTGAAAAATAGTTAGACAAATCAAAAATTCAAGAAAATTATCTTAAGGTCTTTGACTTCAATGAAAAATGAAAATACAAAGTTGGAGAAAGTTTTAGAACTAAATTGATTTCGTTTTGAATATTTAATCATTGGAACACCTCTAAAATGTTAATATTAACATTTCAATAATGGAAATTTTCCCACTTAAATTGTTATATAACAATTGATTCTTTGAAACTTAATTTCCACAGAAAAATGTTTGTAACTTATCAATATTAATTTTGACCACAGTATTGGCATAATTCTATTGTAGTAGTAAGTATACTAGTATTAGATTTCAATTAGAGACTCATTAGCGTGCAACATCGTTGTAGGAAAACGATAGTGGTACGAGTGGAGCGTAGATCAAGACATCATTTGCATCATCTCAATGCATTGTGAGTATTCACCACTCCCTATTTTCGGTTTTTAAAATGTTTGGGGTGGAAAGCATGTCCTAAACTATTTATGCTCATTGTATTTATTTGACTCGTATAAACTTGTTGCTATTTTTGCATATTGTGAGTATTCACACACTCCCCTATTTCGGTTTTTATGTTTGGGGGTGGAAAAGCATGTCCCGAAAAACTATTATTTGAATGTTGTATTTAAATTGATTTGTATCAAACATGATTGCTATTTTATTGCTATGTCTCTCTATGTAGTCTATGCAACACGAAACATGAGAACTTATCGTACTAAGAAGGCCCTTCCCTTATCTCTAAAAAACCTTCTTTGAGCCAATGGTCATTATGGATAGCGCTATTAGGAATTGACAACTCCTCACTCGCCCTATTGCTGGAGTGCATGATATCATATTCATCTATGGAACGATAAGCATAGATCTTGATAGGCTTCAGTCATAGGTTTTGGTTGAGACTCATGTTTGCTCATACACATACAACTCGTTACTATTATAGCAATAAACTTGTTTATTAATTATACAATGAACTTGTTTCTCATTACAACAACGAACTTTTATTACTGAAAACTTATATACATGTTTTTAGCAATGAAATTGTTTGCTCATTGTAGCAAACGAAATTGATTGCTCATTTTAAGCATGAAACTTGTTTACTCGTTTTAGTACGAACTTTATCTTCCATGAGAATATGAATGTTGCATCTTATTTGGGCAACATATTTTATCTCTCATGATGACAAAGAACTTTGTTTTTACAAACTTATTTACTCCTTTTAACAATATACTTTTATTATTGGAAACTTTTATCAAAACTTTGATTTCGATTCATGAAACCAATATTATTTTTAAACTTGTGAGTACTCACCAACTATTTTTATAGTTGACGCTCGTTTTACATGCTTTTTCAGGAATCATCGAGTAAGTGGCACTTAGGGACACTTCACTTTTAGGAGCATTCGCATGTGTTGTATTTCAATTTACATGTAATTTCTTTAAAAGTTGTTCAAACCAATTGTAAAATTGTAATGATTTTTAATACTATGGTTGGTGTTGTCTTTTAACTTTTGCTACGAAACCCTTTATACTGCCACGCCTCGTGTTTCCGCTTTAGTGGGGTGTGACAGGGCCCAAGTTAGGCGAGGCCTTAGATCAGGGTATGGTTAGGTTATGTTCATGTATGTTTCAGTATGTTATTTGATCGTATTTATGTGTTATGGCGGGGGAGGCCCAGAGACAGGCGGGGCCTAAGGGAAACAAATTTGTATACCGAGCGGGGCTCGATGCCAGGTGGGACCTGATGCCAGGCGGGGCCTGATGACGGACGGGGTCCAATGGTGGGCGAGGCCCAATGCAGCGGGCGGGGGCCCAGTATGTGGTTATGTGCTCAGAATTATGTATGGCATGTATGGATCAGTAGATATGCATGGTATGTGGTAGGTTGGGGAACTCACTAAGCTTCGTGCTTACGGTTTTCAGTTTTGGTTTCAGGTGCTCAGTTTTCAAAAGAGGAGCTCGGGAGGGTTGTAGTGCACACACCATGATAAGTTAGCCTGGGATGTTTACTCTGAATAATTGAACAAGTGTTTTGGAAATGAAACTTTGATTTGTATTAATGACTAATGTTTTGGATGGATGAATTATAATTATGACTTGATTAATGATCTAAAAATGAAATTTTTGGACCTAATTTTTGGGATGTTACATCCTTGGTTTTCAAGGTCCGATTTTAAGTTTTTCATGGCCGGTTTTTTGAGGAAGAAGATGGTTCTTAGTTGTTGGAGGTTCGTGTTTTCTATTTTCCGGCGAGATAGCGAAGTAAAGAGAAGTTTCCTCTCATCGTTGTTCCGACGATCCACCCACAATCCCCACAGTCTCTTTTCCGGTGATCCCCCAATCTCCCACCATTGAAGACTCTTTCTCCTCCCTTCTTTAATCTATGTTGATATTCTCCTCTCAATTTCTCTGATCTTTGATGATCTGCAAGCTCCTCCCAATAGGTAGCGATTTCCGGTGGGGATTCAATTTGTTTAACGTATTTAGGTTTTAAGGCCATATTTTTTTTTTTAATTTTCAGATCCATAGGAAAATTGATGGTGTTACGGTTTTGGTTATGAGAGAGAGAGAGAGAGAGATGTGGGACCCCTTGCATATTAAATATTATTTTTTTCTTTTTCTGTTTTTTTTTTAAAAAAAATTAAGCGAAAACCTCATAAATGGTCCCTCGGGTAGTGAAATGACGAAAATGTCCTTCACTTAACGGACAAATACTGACGAAGTTAACCATAAGGACTAAAAGTTAAAAGTTTTGAAACCACAAGGACCATCTGTGAGGTTTTTAAAAATTAGGGACTAAACTTCAGATTTTCGGAAACCACAGGGACCTTTTTGAAGTTTTGTCTAAAAAAAGTTACAGATTTTATTAGAAAATTTTTTTTTTTTTTTTTTTTTTTTTTTTTTTTTTTTTTTTTATAATTCATGTTTTCTAGAAAAATGTTAAAAAACCTACATTAAAAAAAACAATCGAAAATTAATATTTAAAAAATCTAAAATTTTGATTTATTATGTTAAATTTTAGACATTTTTATTAATATTTCAATAACATAAAAAAATAAACATTAAATGAGATTGTAAGACGACGATCATGTCCTTAATAAGTTAATTTTGATCTAACGTTGTACCTTTAGTTATCGGGTTCTCGGAAAACTATATGTTTTCAACGGATCTCACCCCTATTATATATATATATATATACTAGGTTATAACCCGTGGACACCAAGGGTGAAATAGATAAAAAAAAATTTAATTAAACTATAAGGTAAAATCATGAGATTTTATGATACAATATAAATTTGATCGATGGATGTAGTAAAAAAATTAATGTATTTTCTATTATCCATATAGGGGTTATTTAATTTATCTTTCTTTCTTTTTAACTTCCTGATGCCATGATAAAATTTAATATGAAAGAGAGAAATTAGTTTAATAATTGTTATGATAATCGATACATAATAATACTGCAAATTAAAGAAAAATAAAATAAACAAAGTATATATAGTTTAATTAATGACTATAGATAAAAATATAATGGCATGTTTATAGAGTAAAGAAACAACAATGATTATACATAATCATTCCAAAACCCCGACTCCTAAAATTCCATTGTCGCCTCCCTCCTCCACCCCGCCATCTCCACCCCCCATCCATCGCCGCGTCATGGCCTCCCTTGTCCACCGTCATCGCCCGACACGAACCTTCACCGTCGCACCCCTCAATCTTCCATCTCCAGCGCCAGGCGGTGAGTCGCAAACTCCGAACAAAACATCCACACCATCGACGTTTCACATCGACTCCGGGTCAGATGCCTACTCTACCCGTCAATCTCCTCTTGTTCGTCGTCTCCTATGTTTGGTCGCCTCCCTCATCCGTCCGCCGTCTCCTTCTCCGGCCATCACAGGTTTGTTTAGGGTTTAGGGTTTATTTCAGGTTGTATAAAAAACCGGATTGTGATTTGTATCATATCGTTTACAAGTTTGAAGTCGAAAAACTTGTCAACTTAAAGAAGAAAGGCTCCTGAAAGCAGGGAGCGGCAAAGCAATTATAGACATCTCCGTCTCACGAAGTCAGAAATGATACCAGAGGAGATTTTTAGGTGAGAAAGTTATTTTCATAAGATGAACTTGTGATTTTTTAGGTTATAGAAAACTATGCATATAAAATTTTGCTTTTTATAGCCATAATTTATTCCTTAAAGATTACTGAGTTATATAAATTATTTGTTTTGAAAATTTTGTGGATTATGAATAGTCTCGTTTAGTTTCCAGATTCTAATTTCAGTATGTTTTAAATTGTTCCCTTGCTTCTTTTTATCAACAGATTTGGAGTTAAAATTAAGGTTAAATGATTCTTTATGCAGCGGTGTTTTTCAAAAGTGTCGATTCTTTTTCATTTTATGCAACAATGTTGACTTGTTTTTTCAACCATTTATGCAACTGACATGATTTTGCAAACATGTTTCAACTGTTTGAAACATATTACTGGTCAATGGTAAATGATTGCATATTTGTTATAAATACCAGTTTGTTGCATAAATTGGGGAAAAATGTGAAATATGCATAAAGAAGCATTCAAGCCTTAAAAAGTAGAAACAAATAAGAGTGTGTGTGTGTGTGTGTATATATATATATATATATATATATATATATATATATATAATGTTGTTTATATCTTCAAACAACATTTTATATATTAATTAAATTAACTTTGTAGTTACGAAAAAAAAACATGGGTTTAATGATTATGTTTTCAAAGTTTCAATCAGTGTTTTACGTTGTCAACCGTCTAGGACACGAATTATTACCTTACTTAACTCGATCATGCTTGGTGGACTAAGTTTACGTTATACACTCCACATAAAAACCTTCACATCCAAAATTATATATATGCATTGTGTTTAATATCTGCATGGTATAAAATTTTCCATAGTAATATGAAGATTCAAAGTACAATGCTTTCATAGGAAAAAATTAAGAAAAGTTTGAAAATTTGGTTTGTAGTCAACGGATATTGATGGAGAAAAGCAAAATTCTAACCCGGCACATGTTTGGTAGACTAATTATACAGTATACACTCTTTATATAAAACATTCCCATGACAATTTTTTAACTGTATTGTGTTTCATATCTACATGGAATAAAAGTTTACATAATATCTGAAAATGTGAAAAATACAATGCTTAAATAGCAAAACCTTTATAAAAGGCTTAAAAGTACAATGGTATAATCATAAGATTTAAATGGTTTAAAATGAAAGAAAGTAGGATTCATCAACATGATGAAAAAAAGGTTATCAAGTAAATAGAAAAAAAAAGGTTTTAAAAGTATATTGCCATTAAAGGGAATGTTCCCTTCTAAAACATACTAATAAAAATGTTAAAAAAAAACTCTTATGCAATAAAAATGTTATAAAGTACAAAGCTATATTCTGCATATTAGAGTTTTATTCTTAATTTAATTTTTATATAAAAAATGCATAAAAAAGAAACGTAATACAACAGAAACGTGAATTATTTTAAATTAAAATTTTATAAAATCAAATTTTTATAAATTACAATTCTATATATTTTGCATATTCTAAAATTTGCATTGTTTTTCTTCAATTTTTATTTAAAAAATGCTAAAAAAAATATAATAAAGCTGAAATGTGACTTTTGTAAAGCAGTTTTGTAGAGTAGGGGCAAAATAGTCACAAATTTGTGCCATATTTGTATTCCATTACAACACATAGGCACACATGAAAACATTGTACTTTTAAAAATGGACCATGTAATCCGGCATAAAAAAATACTATGGAAAGTACAATGCTATTTATTACATACTTTTGAAGTTTTTTCTATTTTTTATATGTTTTTTGGTAAAGGATGTAGAATTTTAGGGGAAAAATCAGTGACACAACACAAACAACATACTATCTTATGGAAAATTGTTAAAATAATTTGTATAAAGTACAATCCTATATGATGCATACTTTTTAAAGTTTCATTGTTTAATTAAATTTTTCTATATAAAATGCAGAAAAGAATTAATCGTTCAAAAATGGACCATGTAATCTGGCATAAAAATATTAATGGAAGTACAATGCTATTTCTCGCATACTTTTGAAGTTTTTTTTTAATTTTTTATTTTTTGTTTTTTCTGTAAAAGATGTAGAATTTAAGGGGCAAATGATGCAATAAATGTCTTATTATAAAGTAGTTGTTTTTAGTAGGGGCAAAACAATCAAAATTGTCATCTTATTTGTATTTTTTATAACATCATACTTTTAATTTATTTGAAGAAAAAGAAAGATAACATTGCAGATTTTTTTTATCAAAGTACAATGCTATTTTTTTTGCATAAATTTAAAGTTTCTTTTACTTATAATTTTTTTCCTGCATATAAGATTAGAATGATGTATTACAATGTTAATAATACAGTGATAAACAAACATGACATGGAATGGGAGTCTTGGATTCCTATTCCGGTTTTCCATGATCCATTCCAATTACAATGAAAAAAAAAAGTTTCTTTTCCTCTTATGGAATGGGCCACTACTTTTGAAGGAACCAATTCGTTCTAGTCTAGTCTGTCAATTTCCATTTTATTAGTCAAATGGTCTTTTTTTTTTCTATAAAAGTAAGATGATATAAGAAACTCAAATCCTCGAAAAAGTACAGAAGGAGAAGAAAAATGTAACAAAAGAGAAGAAAAAAGGAATAAACTAAATAACATATTGCAGATCACATAAACAGAAAACAATCAACAATTATTTGTTGTAGACTAACCGGATGGATTGAAAATAATGATATACCTTCATTAGTTTTGTAGTTTACAGAGATGCAGAAAAATTCTTGAAGGACAGGTTTGAAGACGCCAATGAAGAAGAGAATAAGAGGGAATCGATAGTTCTAAGTTGGGAGATTATGATTAACTGATTTTAGGGATTGCATATCTCTATTTAAGTTTGAAAGTGTGTTTACATATATAAAACGTATTTTGAATTTTGAATGCAGTTTAATTTTGGATTAAAACTAATTTGCTTAATCTTATGAGGTGAGTAATTGATAATTGAAGCAATGTAAAGGCGGGAAAATCAGTCAATAATTTTCTGTGGAGGTGACACATGGCATAATGGCTGTGTAAAAGAGTGCCATGTGGCACTTTAGAGAGGCTTTTATTAGGAAGAAATATATATTATATATATATATATAATAATATATATATATATATATAGATCCGGTAAGAAATTTTTTTTGGTAGGAAGGTAAGAAGTTTTTTTTTTCTACATATTTTTTTGACGAACAAAATAAATGAATCACTATGATTTATTTTGTAAAGATGATCACAAGAAAAATTCTCAAAAAAACATCTCATGATTCATTTTAAGCAAATTAAGAAAAAATTATTTGTATAACAATTTTAGTGATAACAACAATCATTGTATAAATGAATCATCGAGATTTTTTTTGAGAATTTTTTCTTGTGATCATCTAATGAGTTATTTTGTTTGTTTTCGCGAAAAAAATATGTAGAAAAAAAACTTCTTACCTTCCTACCAAAAATTTCCTTCTTATTAGTTGATTCTTGATCTTGACTATATAGATATATATATATTATATATAATATATATATAACCAACAATTTTAAATAAATAAAATAAATATATAAATAAAATAAATATAGTGTGTTGATAATCGAAGAGATATCATTAAAAAAATATAAATATAAATAAAATAAAAGTTAGACTATATTAAACAAATCATCTTATTATAATTCTATACCTTATAAAAAACATGTTCTGATAATTTTTTGCGTCGGGCTATATTGGGCCAAGCCCAAATCGACCCAACTTGCAATCAGATTAGGGTTTCACTATAAAGGCTGGTTACCGCAGACAATCGACGTTTGCAAGCCTTACCAACATTCCGTCGCCTTCTGCCTTCGGTACTGTGAAAACCTGCCGGCGTCGCCATGAGAGCTAAGGTAAGCGATCGATTTCTACAAAATATCACTTCACGAATTAACAATCTGAATCAAGCTATTCATTTTCTCTGATTTTTTAATTTATTACTGTTGTTTTTCAGTGGAAGAAGAAGAGAATGAGGAGATTGAAGAGGAAGCGACGAAAGATGAGACAGAGATCCAAGTAAATCGAAAGATGTTGCAGCGAATCGTCTATCTCGCGCCTCTTGATCCCATCCTGCTAGGGTTTTGTTATCTAGGTTTTTTTTGAACCTTCGTCCTTTTTTAGTTTCTGTTGCTATTACAATATTGGTCATACGTTTCCCAATTCAGTTCTATTATCGAATCCAAACGTTTTGCATTAGAGTTATCGATTTTGCAGCATTTGATAAAATTGATTGTTTTAATAGCATGAACTATTTCTCGATTACAAACCTTGTTCCATGGTGATCTTGTTTATCCCATCGGTTAAGTAGCATTTGTTTTCTCCCTACTTTAGTCTGATCATTTAAAGAGTCATCTATTCTAATGGCAGATTGCCAATAATATGATCAGTAACATTTTGGATAATTAGATCTAAACCTCAAATTTCTTCCATTGATAAGACCAATCTTATACATGGCTTTCCAAGTTTTTATTAATTATTAGCAAAGGTCCATCTATTTCTCATTCTCAACGTTACCCAAAAATCCATGTGACAAATTAGATGTTCCAACATTACCCTTAAATCGATCATAGATTTTGACCAAAAATTTTGTGCTAAACTTTGGAAAATTCGGATTTTACAAAACAAACGTAATTGTGAAATTCAGTAAATTTTCCTACAAATCACTAACTGAAATGCAATAATCTAGATTGTTTGGATGTTGGACAAAAATGCATCTAAGTTCGGAAAAACAAAAGAGTTTGAAAGTTATGTGATTATGTTTTATTACCAAATAAAACGTTTAATTATGTAAAATCAAGTTTCTTTTG